TTGGGTTTGGGGTTCAGGCTTCAGGGGTTCAGGACTCCAAGTTGAAGAGTCTGAGGGGGCTGGGTGGGATTCAGCTTCAAGATCAGAACGCCCGAAGCTGGAATCCTACATCCCCCCAAAGTCCGCGCCTCTTCCTGCCAAACATGACATTCAAGTAGTCGCAGTAGCTAAGCACCTCTGCAGGCTAGCATCCGAGGCGATTGGCCCAAAAAAGTGTGTTTCTGGATAGAGAATACTGGGCCGCACTCTGCTCTTACGTGCTCCAATATACTGCTACGGTTGGCCGTAAGCAAGAGCGTGACCCTAAGTACCCTACACCTTGGGAAGTATTGTAATTGTACTACAGCTTGCTTCAGTTTTCGAGGGTCATGCAGGATTTCTTGCATCAACCCTATGTATTAATACGGGGGGTTTTCGCACGCCTTACCATGTGTAAGCGTAACCCTCATGAATCCCCTAACCCCCACCCAACCTTACTGGGGGTTAGCAGGGAATTAGGGAACATAATCCCAATAATCCCTATATAACCCCTGTATAACTCCAATGTATACCCTATAATCTCTATATGACCCCTAATCCCTATACTTTCCATTTTACTCTCCCTTATCCCCATATAAAACCAATATTTTCCCATATTCCCTACTAAACCGAACACTGAGCCTCAAAATTAACCCTAAACCCTAAACCCTGAACCTTAACCTTAAACCCTAAAGCAACGCAAGGCGCCCAGACCTGGCCTCATCTTCCTCCAAGACCTCTTCCCCAGCGGCATGCTGCCTGCCACAAAAGACTTGTTCTTTCTGGGACCTTTTCTCCCCACTGATGTCCCGAGGAGATGCAAAGGCTTGGATGTAGGGTTTTGGGTTTTGGGGATGCATTTGGGTTGAGTTTGGATGCTTCGAGACGGTTCAGGATTCTGGTTTAGATGGTTTAGGGCTTAAAGGCTTAAAGTCTGCCAGTTCTCAAGGGTTTGGGTTCTGAGGCGAAATGATCGGTTTGGAGGCTGACCCTAAACCCCTAAACCCTAAACCCCTAAACCCCTAAACCCTAAACAAACTCTTGGGATACTCCTCGCATTCAGAATCTTGCCATTTGAGTGTACTTATACTGCAGCACCCAACAATCAGCAGGCAGTCAGCAGGTCACACCCCTTGTTATATTTCAGTGCATATTCAATCATATCCAACCAAGACTGAGCCAGTGTGGCGCCAGAAGCTCTTTCGCCCACTGCTTCTCCAGAACAACTGGCCAGACAGCTGTGTCTCAAAAGAAACTCTTGCCGGCATAGCCACAGATCCAAAAAGACATGGCCACAGATCCAAAAAGATCTATACCAGGTTACCAATATCAACAAGACCCATCACTCACAAGGGTTTGAGTTCTCGAAAGGCCAATGGAGAAACTGTCTTTTTATCATGCAGGTGCCCGACAAGTCAACGCTTATCAGGAATGAAGGACTAAAAGATCGGATCAATCTCGGTGCCCTGATGTTCAGGCTGACTCCACTCAGGGTTTCGGGCCGGGGGGTACCTTAATTTAATTCTCCATTATTCGGGTAGTATATCCCTGAGCCCATTCTTACATGCCATATTCTATCCCCCTTATCCCCTGCAGCAGTCACCTAGATAAACCCTATATAACCCCCTTAAGGAGTTCTGACCCTAAGCGCTAAACCCTATATATCCCCTTTAAGGAGGTTTATACCCTAAAAGCTACACCCCAAACCCTAAAAGGAGTCTAGACCCTAAACCCTGAACCGCAAACCCTAAACCCTTTGTAATCCTCTTTTAAGGTCACATCACCCCGAGCAGCCTGCTGGTGAGGCAGCCAGGCGTTCACAAGCCTTGCGACCACGGAACGTTCTGTCGAAGCTAGATGCAGGCATAATAGCAACAAGAATAATACTCGCAAAAGAGTAGTAATAGCAATAAGAACAAAAAATTTGCAATAATAGCAAAAATAGGAACGTGTCAGGGGGCCCCTTTTTGAGACACGACCAGTTGCCTTCAAAGCCGTTCTTGATAGCACATCTAACAGTGAAACCTGGAAACCCTTGCGGTTTGAGACGCGGCATCACGAGACACAACTCTGTGTAGCCTCTGGTTAAGGGTTTTGGGTTTAGGGTTTAGGGTTTAGGGGTCTAGGGCTTAGGGCAAAGTGAGAACATTTGAGTACTTCCTGCAACACCCTCAACTCCGACTTCCTTGAAAGGGTAGCCGCAACTCTGACCAATCGCTCTTCATAGATACAAACAATATACACAAAAAAGAAACCTACTGGTGGTAAGAACTCGCGCTCCAATCCAATTCTTCCACTATTTCACAGAATTCCCACACGGCTCATACGGACTGTTGTATGCTCAGTGCCTTCACAGTGTCCTAATACTTCAGACCAGACTGCGCCTTCAAAAGTCCAGCGCTGCTGAGGCCATGAGCCTCAGAGCAAAGCACTGCAAGCGGCCTCTAGAGGAACCTATTACGCACAGGAGTGGGGATGTGAGATGGACATCGGTGTAGAGGATCAGGACGTAGGATTTGGCAGGCGGACGCATTCCCAGGCTGTGGATTGCGGGATGGGGGTCTGAGGCTCCAGGTTCCGAGTTGAAGTCGACTCCAAGCCCCTGTGTGCGTGCAGAGAACGATGCTCCGAGTTGTAACAATATTCACTGAAATCGTCCTAAGCTGCAACTTTGCAAGGATCGTTGCGCAGACTTGTCAGCTCTCCCTCTCATGATGCTTTTAGGGCATCCTTGGTACGCAGGCCAAACAGCACCAGCCTGCTTACAAAGACCTACCATCCGCAGCAGACAGACACTACTCGCTGAACTCACCTCACACCGGCCAAACGCATCCCCAACACACAACTGGACTGAGTCGCAAAACTCTCAGGCCCGGGCCCCCGTGGAGCCCGAGTCGCCAACCGCTGTTTCGAAGTGCATCTGCATGCGACCAAGGACCTGCCACAACGTGGTCAAGCTGCGATACTGGCGCTTAAGGAAGACTCAGGGATGGCAGGATTTGGCACACGTTGCTTTTTGTCTGGGTTCCGCCCAGCGCGGCAGAGAGAGATGGATGCGGCACTTATGATGATGAGCATTACTACCATTACGATTATTACCCTTATTACTATTACTACTCTTATTACTCTGATTACTAGTATCACTCTTATGACTCTTATTGCTCTCATTAGTCTTATTGCTCTTGTTACTCTTATTACCTGTTATTGTTTCTTGATTTTCTTGGCAGCCTGCGAGTCCGTCTTCAAAGCCTTCGTGAGCTGATGGTTCACCTGTCAGACAGTACCCTTTCTCAGACAAACGTTGAACCCCATGTGGGCTCTATGTAAGGGACTATATAGGGCTGTACAGGGTTCAGGGCTGGGGTTCAGGGTCTAAACTCCTTAACCGCGGTTCTTTGGAGGAGTATATAGGGGAGTATTATGGGGGGTCATTAATGTGGATACTAGGAGTTTAGACTGTAGCTCATATCAGGCCGTGTTATAGAACCGCAGTCTTACTAGAGCGAATGTTTGTTTGTTTTTTTGGGGGGAGGGAGGGGGGGGGGCAGGACTATAGTCTCCGAAATGAGGTTGTTCAAGAGCAACTACGTTGTCTCAGGTATAGTATACTAGTGCAGAGCTGGTTCAGCCTCTTTTGAGTCTTAGGCTCTCCTGAAGAAATCCACTTTCTATAGATGACATCAGCGCTGAGAAATTTAGACCTTGCAAGTTTGAAAGCTGCACCTACGGCAACCATGATCAATGATCTCTCTCAAATGACCAGAAGCACACGCTTCGCTACAGAGCCAGGCGTCAAAAAAAAACGCTACAGACAATGAAACCACTATTCAAGGTTCATGCGCTGCAAGCCAGATTCGAAACCCTCCCCTCGTACCACGCTACAAGCAGTTGTGCGGCTTGGCTGAGGGAAGCAACGCGCCAAAGCGCACGGGTCAGGGAGTTCCATTCACCGCTTTGGGTGCTTTTTGCAGGGGCAGGTACTCTGCCGCCAAGTCTGTCTAGAGACATGTCAGACCGTGAATGCACCTCCGCTTAGCGAGCTGCACTGCCTGGAACGTGAAACTAAACGTCTGAAAAAGATGCGCTTAAAGTTGCAAGTCTGTACGTAACCGATGAACGTCGGGATTTGTGTGAGTTGGCATAGAAGGGTTTGATGAGTATAGTGGGTATAATCTGTGCTGCGGTTGGTATCATAGTCGTCTTGTGGTTGGTATAAGTGGGCGGGGGGGGTCGCCAGCACTACCCGACAAGTGGACCTACTGGTGAGCTGATGCTTTCGAAGTTGCAACTTTGAGTAACAAGCGACCGCAGGTCACGCTATGCATGCCCTCGATCCGCACTGACCAGAAGTGAAACAACGACTGCGGAGTCAAAAGTTAACACCGTCAAAATAGAACCTCTACATAGCCGTCGGGAAGCGCTAGCGCGGCTACCCTCCGGCATTCCGTGGGATCCCCCTCCAGGCCCTGGCGCAGGAAAGATGGGATGTCCTGTTCCCTGGCAAAGTCGGCCACCGTCCAGTTCCGACCGTTGCGGAGATCCAGCCGCGCACCGGCAGCGATCAAGGCCGCGGCACCCTCGTGCTGGGCAGCCTGCAGGGCTGCCGCAAGGGGCGTTTGGCCATGAAAATGGTACATAATTGACGTGAGAGCGGATGATGTCCGGCCAACCCGGTGCTTTAGTGACTGCGCTGCAACAAACCACCAACAGAAGCTGGAATTGTCGCGGCAGACATCCCGCTGGAAGTTTACCTCCGCCCGGAGGCTGATCAGCCGCTTTACCAACTCTGCGGAAGCCGTGAAACCGCCCATGGCACCATGGAGCGCTCTTCCAAGCTCAAGCGGGCTATGCTGAGCCTGCGGCAGCAACTCCTCAAGAGCCTCCCGGCCCCCATAAACAGCTGCAGTTTCAAAGGGTGAAGCTCCAAAAATATTTTGCGCCCGAGGGTTGCCGCCAGCGGCCTGGAGCAGGCTGAGGCCTTCCGCGTTGTTGGAAAATGCCGCCCACTGCATACTGGGAAAGACTCCCCCCTCCAGGTGGGCGCGGGCGGAGATCAGCAACCGGGCCACATCATTGTGCTTGTAGAAGATGGCCAGGTCCAACACCGACATCCAAGGTGGAAAGCCCAGTTTTGGCTCTTGTTTCGCGGTTCTGCGGTTGGGATCAGCATGTTGGGCAAGCAGGCCCTCAACGACTCGCCGGTTTCCTGACAAGGCCGCGTAGTGCAGAGGCCAAAATCCTGCAGCATCCTTCTTCTTGACATCTTCAAGGCCAGTCTGGTACAGAAAAATGCTTGCGGGATCGTCCTCAGGAGGGGTAGTTTCATTGTCAGGTATGAGGCCGGGAACTGGCTCAATCTCCAGGCCGCGCATGTGAACTGTCTGCAAGCAAAAATGTCGTCTGTAAGCAGGCAAATCTCCTGCCTTGAGGGACAGCTGCAACTTCTTTGCCAAAATACTCTTCATGACTGGCGCAAGTTTCTGGCGGTCCCCCGCTACTGTGAACGCGCCCTCGCCAACTGATCCGCACACAGATGACACAGCTGTGCCGACCACCTGCACAGAAGTCGAGCTTCGTACCAGAATCCAGGAATCGTGGGCAGAGAGTTCTCTTGCGGCCCGTTCCAACCTGCAAAGCCCCTTGTGTTCCCTTTGAGGCAGGTCATAATGAAGCTATGGGCTCCAGGACTGCACCCGGACATGTTTGCTGATCTGCAAAACACATCTTCAATCATCCTCTGCCAAATCTCTTTCTCAACTCCCGGGCTTTGGAGAGAGTATATGAGCCATAATCTAACCTCCCAGTATCCCCCTTAGTAACCCCTAACTATATAATCCCCCATATATCCCCCTCTAAAGAGTTTAGGCTATAGCTCATATGAGTCTCACATGGTTCGAAGCAAGGTAGGAACCGCAGAGATCCCCTCCTGAATGATGAATCTAAAGCCTAACTTAACGAGGCCGGATACCTGCACCATCCCCGTGTGTTCCAGCTCGCAGCGCTCAGAACCTTTCCATAAACAGCGCAGGCAATGGTTGAGCAGAGGGCGAAGAAGAAGCGACACTTCGCCACATAGGCAGGTATGCTGCTTATGGCCTCGGACTGTTCGTTGGAGCAGCTTGCAGCCTGCGGCACAGAAAAATGATCGTACCAAATGAGCAGCGGCCTTGCCTGGAACTCTTCGTGCGAAACTGCTCTGGCGCCAGGGACGTTACTTTCCGTTACCCAATCCAGAGAGACCGACCCTCGTCTATAGAGAAGACGAGCCAAAACATCTTGCAACACGCGCATCTGCTCGAATTCCGGATCGGGATGGTTGCCGGCAACCCACTGATGTGAAACAAGAACTGCATTGCCCATGCTCTCGTCAAAAATGACAGCATCGCCCCGGGCCTCCATTGCAAGCTAGGCACACTGACCCTAGATCGACTAACCCGTCAATTAAGAAATCATAAGATCTGGAGAGGGGTACAACGCACTCATTATACCCATAATGCCAACTGCACCCCTATTCGGGCCTGTTCAGGTTTCCTGTTCCTTGCGGGGGGCTGTTTATGTTGCCTCTGAAGTGGCAAGCGCTGAGCTTCCCCCAACAGTATATATAGGGTTGAGGGTTTAGGGCTCCATGTACCAATCTGGTATGTAGCCGGGCCCAATAAGTTTATGGAAACCCGTTTAAGGTCTAAGTATCTGCCATGTAGATACATGAAGCCTTTAGGTTCCATATGTTCGCGGAAATGCTAGAATGTGCCCCTACTTCTAGATGATCACCATTGAGACCAATTCTATTCAGCAGCTTTTTATCCCGGCGCCCTAAACCCTAGGCCCTAAACCCTCAACCTGAACCAGCCAGCGGAACCCCAAAACCCTAAACCTCAGAAGGCCACTTTGGTGCCGCCGCTCGCTCGCTTGCTTGCAGCTCCCAGTACAGGGAAGTGTTTAGCCTGACAAGTTCGACCCGATATACCCAATACGCCAAATACACCGGATTAGAACCGCCTCTAAGTATGCCACAAGATACTAAAATCCCTACTATACATCGCTAAACCCTCAAAGTAAGCACTTTCCCAACTGGACCAAAGATATATTTACCGCCTTCAGCTCTTCGTGTGTCTCGATTGCCGTCATGTGCATAAGGAATTCTACCCGCACAGTGTACATGGGGTAGAGCATCGCAATTGCCTCAAATGTGGTTCTCAAAGTGACCCCAATTGTGGGCAACACTCAAACGTGCATCGTCAACGTTTGGGAGCCCCGGTTCGGCTGTTCTCAAAACAAGAGTCTCCGCAGGGACCTAAGGGGCATAGAAGGATTATCAAATTCAGGAGGCATGCGTCTCCTATACTCATCCATCCCCGAAGTGCAGAAAAGTTGACCGGCATGGAAGTAGAGAGGCTTCAAAGAGGACATTGCTGCGCGGTGTAGGGTTGAGGGGCTCCCAATGCCAAAATAGCTGCAAAGCTGGAAACTCCCGACACGGATTCAAAAAGGTGAAAACACCCCTGCCAGGATAGAAACCTTGGTTGAAAACCCTGCGATATCTGAAAGCCTCCGACTGCAGAGCCAGCTATCCAAACCTGCCACAAGCCAAAAAAAAACGCCTGAAGCTTCCTGCCAGCCTCCAGTACAATCATACTATACGCCAATAAACCCCGACATACCCTCTATATTCCTGGTATAGACCCACCTACATACCTCCGAATGTACCACCTACATAGCCCCTCGCCTATATAGCGTCCATTTCTGCCTCCAGCATTCATCCACCCAACCTGCTGCGGCTCAGCAACGTCATCCACGGAGACCGTTCTGCCCCGAAGACATCTTGACATGGCGCGGAAAGGGTCGCAGATTTCAGGCTTCGCGGCCCGTGACGGCGAGAATGAGTTTAGGTTAAGGGTTTAGGGTTTAGGGTAGCACTCCCCATGTGGGGTTCGAGTCCTCCTTCAAGATACTATCCTGGATTCTTAGCCCATGGCTTGTGCAATCCTTGCTTACCCTTTTAATGTGTAACCCTCATATACACCTTTGAACGGAAGCTTATTCTGCCCTTCTTGCTCTTTGAAGTAGACTTCTGCTTCAAAGAGCCTTCCAAATGGCCCATGTCAAATGCGAGAATTACCACGTCTCAAGGGATCTCCTGGTCTGGAATCAGAACTTTGTCTGCTTGCTTGACACCGGAATAGACTTTCTTTTACCTGTGGCAGGTAGCTGCAGGCACGCAAGTGGTGTGCCTGGAAGCTTGCACAAACAACTGCAACCCATGAGCATGCCCCGCGCCGGCGCATCAACAATAGCACAAAGGAAGGAACACTTGAGGGTTTCCGAAAAGTAAGGGTAGCTTCCGGGTTCCAATAATAAGGATGATAATATGTTTGCGTCTATAATGGGGCCCCCCCTATTTTGGGAAGCTACTAATTAAGATGGAGGAACAGCTGCTGCTTTATGGGAAGTGGTAGAAACCACCAAAGATTGTGGAGCCCCTTCTCTCCCAGAGAGCCGGAAATCTGCCGCCTCCAGGGTTGAATGATAGGAGCCATTGTCCCGCTCCAGCGCCCAGAAATGGTTCCTGGGCGTTCTGTTGGCGCAGCACAGATAACATGGTCCGTGTCAAGGGTACCAATATCCGAGTAGAGCCCAATAGGACTCCAACCAGCCTAATCGTGCTTGGACCAAACCCTCATTCAAAATATTGCCAACACAAGCAGTCGGTCATTTGGCACCTGGAAACTATTTTTCATGGCCCCTACACTGCCTACACTCGCATTCCACAATAGCCCCAGCCCTCTCACAAATCTTAACCAATAGTAACGAATCGTTTCTAGCAAAGCTGACCGCCGGTCATGTTCATTGTATGGATTGAATACAAATCCTGAAACCAGGATTCCTCTCTCAAGAAACAACGAAAAGTTTGCACGGGTCACCTGCAAAGACTTGTCAAATGACACGGTTTACACGCTAGCCACTTCCATCCTTACCTTGCATCCCCGTAGGCTTTAGTGTTTAGGGCTTTGGATATCTTCTGAAAGCATCTGGGACTGGTGCCAGCAGGTCATGTCGATCTGCTGGCCACCCCGCAAGTCCATCTCCTATCATGCGCATGGGCAGAGGGTTGCAGATCATGAGGTTCAAACCACAAACGACTGAATTTGTGTATATCCATCTAGCTTTGCAACCTGCGGTTTTGGGTCCCAAACACCCTGGTTAAGAGCTAATTACATTCCATGGCTTATGGATCCAAACCCAAAGGTACAAACCCTTAAGCGGTACAATTTCAAAGGTCCCATGTACCGAACTGCCGATGTACGTACCCGCAGTTATCTCTGGCGCATAGTCTGCAACAACATGAATGGAGTCTTGCTTGTGCAAGCCAAGGCGCAAGGAGAATGAGTGGTCCCCATCAAGAGCTTGGAGAACAGATGCTATCGAGGTTGTAAGAGCTAGTTGCCAGATTCGCAAGTGCGTCAAAAACTCTCTCACCTACCAGCTGTGACAAAACCTCAAACTAAAATGCGCTGCGTGCAAAGCAAGCGCACATGGTTGTGTTTCCAAACGGTTATCAACCCCAAGCTCTACTGGTCCCGATTCGAGCGCCCAAACTAGGGACAACCCAGTCAATCCTACACAAACCCTACATGATAATTCTATGAACTTATGAACCCTGAAGGCCTTGTAAAGCAAAGAGATCAGCATTGTGCCTTTGCGACGGCTGCGGCAGTCAGCTCTAACAGCATGGCGTCCTTGCCAATCCAAAGATGCATCCTACGACATTGAAAGCTAAGAAGAACCCATTTCAAAGGCCCTATGATCCAAGGAGGACCATACTGCAGGTTGGATTTGCCAGGCTTTCAGATTTAGGGCTTGAGGTTGCGCATTTTGGGTAGTCCGAGAGAGTTTTGTCATGCTGCCATGCAACACCCACCACCCTTGGATGCACAAGTACATTTCACGCTGAACCCCCGGCAAGGTCTCCCCGCAGGAGTAGTTCTGGGTAGACATACCTCGAGTTACACTAGGAACAGAGTTCCTTGGTCAAGCACGTTGGTTGATACAGCAGACCTGCAAACCCCAACACTTCTTCCCAAGAGCCTCGGGCTCGTTCAGCTCGAGCCAGCTGGACATCAACACCTACATAGGTTTAGGGTTTTGGGTTTAAGGTTTGGGGTTTAGGGTTTAGGGTGGCTGAAGCAGGGTTACGAAAAGCACCGATTGGGTACTGCACCTTCAAGGGCTCAAAGGGGCTTGCTTGGTCCTCATGTCACCTTCATGTAGATACAAGGTCTGTCCCGCTTGCCCACAGGCTTGAGCAACAGATGAATCATTGACTCTGCTCCAAAGAGGTCAACACATACTATCATCTTGTTATGCTAAGGCTGGAGACAACTGCAAAACCATCAACTCCGTTCAGCTGCACCTGGCACATCGCAACATACTGATGCTAAACGTACTATGCTCTTCTTGGTCTTCTGTAAGCTAGATCAGATCTTGGTGCCTCAGGACAATCCAAAGTGCCCCTTGCACCATCCATGAATAAACCCAAGACCATGCAACGCAACTTAGACATCTTCTTGCACCAAGAACAAAAGCAAACTTCAACAGAAATCTGGATTGGGTCCTGCTGGCAGAAAATCGGTGCTTTCAGATTTGATAAGCGACTTGTTGATAGATGTGTCCCTAGCATGTCCTGCAGAACGTTGAAATCCCAACTTGTAGTGTCCCTGCAAGAAGTCCGAATTTGGAAATGTATAGAAATCATGCAAGTCACTGCACGGATTGTTTTCTGGGCCATGCCTCCTTGGTCAGCTTGCCGTCGGCAGCCCGCCTAACTGCTGTTGAAAGAGAATGCAAAAGCAGGATCAGTGCTATGAAGCGTATGCGAGGATGATATTTGCATCGCTCTTGGGATTCACTCCGACCCTGCAGCTTAAGCCCCAGTCAGTAGCAGGCCTGTCAAGCAACCCAACATACCGAGGCTCTATAGGGCTGGATAGGGATCAGAAAGGCGCGCAGCATGTCAGCGCGTTCTTACTCGAAGGAACACTTGCCGGGGTTGCATTGCCTGGAATCTTGCAAAGTAGTCCTAAGGTTGGGGCAGAACTCGAGGGGCAAAAGCCTTGGAGTGCTCGCTCTGCCTGACACCTTAAGTGAATGAATGCCTGAGATCAAGGGAGCATTCAGGTGCTCGTTAATTTCACGCTGAAAACGTCTAAGGAAGGCTCCTCTCTCCTGGAGCAAGGAAAAAGGCCTTACATCCTGCTTACAGGCATACCAAATTTCAACCTGCATGTGAGTAG